AATACAATCAATTCATTTTTTCTCTCAAATTCTCACAGGGCCCTTGAGCTTATTGTCGTCCAATAGTTTGACGAATTGTCTGTTTGCCATTTCTGATAAAAGGCAAAGCAAATATTAGTCCACAACCTGATTTGATTCATGTTATCTACATAGATATGGCTTTTAATCTATGTTCCATTTTCATTTATTCATCTTTGAGATTTCCCTCCTATCTCAGTGGCGGAGACTGTGAGATGTCTCTAGAAATGTGGGAAACCACAAAGAGTGCATGGAGCCAAATGTTTCAGTTGCATAACCCCACCACCTTCTATGAAGGATCACATCCACTCATCTCATGAGCTTTCCCTTTGGCCTCTGTCAAACAAGGTTCATTGCCATTTTAGGTTAAACCTTTCTGTACAGTGAGTGCTTACCCATCATATTCGTGAACGCCAAGGTACCGTGAGAGAGTCTTCCATTTTAGGATAGGCCCCTCTCACATCGGTCTATGACGCCCCTATCATCTTATGAAACAATCCAATAGATCCAGCAKCAAATGGATAGCCCAATTTTATGGTGCATTTCCTCATTACTGAAGAACCCATCTTCATGCTAATGGTGGAAGGCCTTTAGAGAGTTCATCATGTGAATCTCCCTATCACATGCACTCACATTTCAGTGGAGGGAACGAAATATTACGCCCTAGTTGTATTTAGGTCAAACCAAAGTGGCTCCCACTGACTTTCTCAAAGCCAGATTTATATGGGCCCTAAACGGCTAGGGTTCCGCACGGTTTCTCTTGGGGAAGAAGCTGATGTGGGCCCCACCAAACGAGGAGATCATCCAATGATCTTATGGACACCATGGCAATGATGTGCATTCAGCCATGGTGTGAGAAAGAGCCACTATCGAATTAATCATGGGCCAAGTACTTATGGTCAATGTACGTAGCACATCACACATCAATACATCACATGCATGAAACAAATTGATCCAATCAATTAAAAAATTTGTAAAACCCTTATTTAATTAGATTAAATCAGTATTAGCCCAATAGAGCCCATAATGTTATCATATAACATTATCTAGGTACATGGGGTGTAATGCAAAAGGCAGTTCGGCCCATGTAGCTAAATCAGGGCTGATTTAGTTTTATCATATTAAAATTGGGTTTTATAGAGGTGGGCCAAATTAAAACTTGAAATGGGCCATCAACCCTCTAGCCTAAATCGAATTTGGGTTAGAAAAACCAACCCCATCGAACCAACAATTCAGTCCAACCAGTTTGGACCAAATCTGGTGTAAATCGGCCCAAGTTTTGGTGTCTAGTTCAAGATTTAATTCAAGAATAATGATCTGAAAATAATTTAATTCAAGATAATCAAATTATCAAGAAACTAAAATCAAAGGGCTGCACTGTGATTTTCTTGGATATCCTGCAAACCTGCAAAGAACAGTTAATCGCAGATTGCAGAATTGATATCTGCAAAATCGCAGATCACTGAACTTTCTTCTCCTCTATTGCACACTCCAACAAATTGTCTAAAAAAAATTATTTACAAACCAAATTGAATAGATATGAAATCGCAGGGTGTGCCATTCTTGGCACCATAAAGATTCGATCTCCATCACATGTGCAGCCCAAATATTCAAGAAACATTCACAGAACAATTCTATAAATATGACAAAATAATGAAAATTTATATTCCAGATCATTCGCCCATAATCTGGGAACCAATTCCCAGAAAAAACGCTAACTGCGCAAATCGGGTACAACGCCTTCTGCCCATTTGCGTAGATTCAGATCCGATCCAATTTGGTTCAAGACTTGAACCTGGCTCTGATACCACTGAAGGGGATGGGAGATCCATCATATGGATGGCCCAACCCTATAGGAAGGTTGGGCGAAATTTCAAAAAATTTCCTTACTCCCATTCGGGAATCCTATTCCCAATTTAGAAAACTGCATTTTCAAGGTTTGTTCTTGTAACCAAACTGGACCAAATCTGAAACCAAGATTAGGGAGGGATATACCTGATACGGAATCCACGCAAAAAAGCTCCTCCCAATATAGGTGTTCACGCCCAAAGAGTGTACCAAATCCTCCCTCCATTAAAGATGACATAGCTTAGGATGAGGCAGGATTAGCAGGTAGTTCTTCACCAAGAACTTGTGATTCTTCAGCAAGAATCGAGTGGGACAATGAGCACAACTTCTAAATTGTTTCTTCTGGCAAGAAACAATATCAAGATCGAATCTTGATCAAATCCAAGAATTGGATATCGAACAGGGTAGGGCGGCAAGAGTAGGAAGAAAAAGAGTTGAAGGCAAGATCAATCTAACTGAGTTGTCTTCTCTCTGTATTGAGTGAGTGTGTTTTCAAGGTCCGCTCTGATCCAAATCTCTATTTGTATCTGGACTCTTTAAGTGATTAGGATAATCCCTTATCTTATCTATAGATAAAGATCCACCTTCTTAATCAAATTAGGAGTTCCTTGAACCAAATCTTTATTTGGATCTGGACTCTTTAAGTGATAAGGATAATCCCTTATCCTTATCCGCTAATCCAAATCTCAGATCTGCCCCTATTTAATTAGTCTAATTAAACTAGTTCGAAATGGGCTTTTAGGCCCATTAAGCTTTCAGGCTCACTTCCTCTTTAATGCTGGCTAGCTTGGCTCTCTTTGTATAGCGTGGGACCCTATCATTGATCTACACATCAGCCATATGGGTTCAGCCTAGCCTCTATTACAAGGCCTGGCCGAATTCATTGTTGAAAACAGTGAACCTCCGAGTCCATCACTATGGGCTCTTAATGCGCCCAACATTTACACTAAATGGTCCTTGGGTCCAGCCATCTTATGAAGGCCCAAGGACTGTGGGCAGATGCAAGATTAGCCCATTAGGTATAACCCTCAGTGGTCTTACACTTAACCTCTCAACTCATAATGATCAAACACTACCCGACAAGAGAGGACCTCTCCCTCGGCTGCAAGGTGCAATGTTGCACTCTCTACTCACATGGATCCCGGGAATTAACCTTTTGCAAACATTTTGAAACCATAATATATATATGTATATCTCTATATAAATATTGTTTGCAAAAACATATTTTAACAATTGAAATCAACTGCCGGCAATTTAGGTTTCCATCACAGAGAGTGCATCCCCGATCTTTCACTTTGTCCGACAAAGGGGTGATCCTGTCACTATGATCACCCACTTAGATGAATTCTCGGACTGTCCCAACATACCCTGGTTTTTACCCCCTCTAAGGATTTCACTGATTGGCATATCAAAGACAGTCCAATCCGACACCTAGTGCAGTATCATAATCGAGTCTAGGGGTTAGGTGTAACATTCCAGTTTTGCCCATCTATCTCCAAGGTCCAGAGCAATACTGGAATTTTGGTCCGATTCAGGGTTTCAAGAAAACCCACACTGCAT